CAGAATAGGAGCACCGTGGCTATTAAGTTGTTATAGAGCTCTGGGGCACTCATTCATTCCCTTTTAGTTGATTTCGTATCATGGACATTATATGGGTTTAGAGATACTCTGTGGTACACACATGGGCCATTGGTTACCGTCACCTCAAACTACCCAAGCATTCAATCACTGCGAGGTCGCCACAATGGTACCGTATTTGTTTGGAAGATAAAAACGTTAATTGGATGCATTACCAGAACCGTACAAGTCATTACATGGACCAGATATGCATTCAGTCACATCTACGAACGTTCTAATGGAGTCGAACGCATTGTTCATTTCTAGGGGAGCAATCAGCATCGAACGATCATGAACATTTTACTGTCATCCCTTATAAGCAATCCTATAACCGTTACAATGATTACTCGACCACGAAACTGATTAGAAAATATTTAAGATGATCACAAACATTTCTAATCGAACTTTTTTCTTTTAAGTCACATCGCCGTCACGTGTTTAACACCCATCATTCTCCTTTCACGATTCGGTCAAGGATCATTTGGAGGTCTTCATAAGGATTTTCTTTCTTCCTTGCTGATATCGATCAGTAGCTCTGATATTCTTATAAATAGCACTAGTATTATCGTATAAATTCTGTTTCGTTTTTTTCCCGAACTTCGATTCCTGTACCCTTTTTTAATAGAAGATAAGCTTCGTTTCTGCACACCATGTGTGACTAACAGTCAACACTAAGGCATCCACCTGATAGGGATTAAATATGACGTTGATGTTGATAACCGCATCAGTAGTCCTTAATATTTATTCATTTCACTTAGGTTAAGAGCTTTTCTAAGAGAATTCCCTCCTTCTGACAAACCACCCAAATGAATTGCTACTTAAGCTCAGATAACCTCGCAAATAGGCGAAGTATCCAGTGAATCGTAACCACCTCATATCTCTTGATATGTCGGTAAAGTCGGCAACGATTAGCCACTAGCATGAGAACTTCGAACATGTCTTCTCCTTTTTCGTGTTTTGTCCATTTTCAACTTTTTATACTCTTCCGGCAATCGAACGCTTTTTACCGATGCCTATGAGAAGTTAGAAATCGAATTCTCCTTGCTTAGTTAACCTGGAATGTTTTCAGATTTTCTGATGGCTCCAGGACTAATATGTCACTCAAATACGCAAAACGTGAGTTATTTTCCACAGGAAGCTTTTTTTCCTGTGATTTACTTGAACTGCTCAGCATAACATCAAATTTGAAAAGGTCCTCAAGTTAGAAAAGAAAGCATAGGACACTTGAGCTCTGTTAGTTTCCTTTAATAGTCACTTGGAAGGAATCATGAGAACAAGAACATTCTAAATTTTTAAAATTTTTAAAAAAGGTTAACATCGTGAACTTAAATTTTATTTTATATTGATCTTCTTAGCTGTTTATTACAGCTTTGTATTTGTTTAAGAAGAAAGTCATCGATTTAATGGAGTGTGAACATTGTAAATAGAAGACAGTCATTTAAAGAGAAGAAAGCATGAGCTTTGTATTACGATTCCCTATTCACTGTCATTCATCGTGATTGATTTGCTGTTTCACCTGTGGATAGCCCTGTTCCTAGATGTCGAACCGCAATACTGAGAAAGAAAAGTTCATTTCTACGTCAGGTGCTTCCGTCCAAAACGGCATTGAGCATCTCCATGTGTAATGAACCACAGCCTAAGATGACCATGGTGACAGAAAGAAATCTTTTTACAACGAAGAAACTACGTCTGATTCTCAAATGTCCAGCTGACGTAACAACTTCAGAGCAGCCTGTCGTGCTTATATTGAGAATGCATGAGAGGAAATTTTTCCTAGTGACGTCAAATGGACCAATCAAAGGGGATTTGTGATGAGTTCTTTATAATTCGTCGTGAAGGTGAACTGTTACAAATACCATGACCAAGAAACGTGGTTGCTTTAGCAGGGTTAACATTGCTTGAAAAATGAAGTAGCCAGTGAGTGGGAAACCAGGACAACACCAACGATGTGAGGGCGCATCCTCTTCGAGGACACTCATTGTCGACACTCCGACACTCGATAACAATTTGGTTCCTTCGTGTAAAGACGAAGAACAGTCTTTTTCACTTCCTCACCACTTATAGAGATATTGAATTTCACTCTGTAAAACGATTTTTTTTCAAGCGAATGATCCATGTAAACGCCATTCCTGTAGTAGAAGAGTGGGAGCTCTGTTCGGTCACAGTGCTTGCACATGATCTGTACTTCTTTTTTTTAAGTCGCAACCTTTTATTTACTGCCTATTCTTTATTTCATGGCGGGATATGATGTGAAATATAACCACAATGATGCTGAGATATTTGGAAAACGCCGGACCGCAGGCGTCTGCGGTAAGGATCGAACCCGCTGTTACCCTCTTCCTGGGCTAGCGTGTTCAAGATTACTATTATAGTTATCGTGGTAATCTGTCAACTTTTCGGATTGGGGGCATCGATGCAATCACATCGAATGAACTCACGTCATTTTCTGATATTATTTCGCGTACTGATAAACTTGCTGCCCGTCCCTTCTCGAACTCCTAAGGTTGTAATTTTTCCAACGAAAGAAACTGGACGACCGCACTTATTGTCGCTTTAACACAGCAGATTTCAGTTCTTCAAAATTACAAAATTTCTCCCAGTGTTATTTTCATCACTTAAGTTGTTCAAAAAATTCAACCATCCAGAAGAGTTACGGAAAAAGAAATGCAGAGGAGGAACTACTTGGGCCTCAAGTGCTCGAGAAATTCTGTTCGAGAATTCTTCGCCCATTTTTGCTTATATTTCCTTATTCACGACATTCCGCGCCAAATTTGTCCCTAATATTGTTGTTGGTACTATTGCCCGTAATTATGACTAAAACGTTATCTAACTACTTCGTTTGTTTAACGATTCATTTAATATGACTCTATATATTGTGCGGATCCCAGCACTTCTTTCACTCTATTCATTGCCTTACCACTCACTATCCGTGAATGTCTTCGGATTCGCCGGTGGGTTCAGCTGCCACTTCTATACTTCATCTCCTTCATGAATGTTGTTTAGTACTGGTCGAATTGACTCTCCCAGGAATCCCAAGGTAATTTTGTTAGAGCATTCCCACGTTTCCACCACAGGTGGTCGCGGAATGGAGTAATCGTCCACAATACAAGCGCGCTACTAAAAAACGCAAAATGAAACCTTACTGCACTACAGTGGCGACATTCTACCGTAATAATCGCATGCATAAATATACCCCGTGCTTTGTATATTCCTCGACATCGGGCAGTATTCTTTAGCGTTGCAGTGTGATGTACAGCGACGATTCATCTCTCAACATGTTTACTTAAATTGGGAAAGGGTGTGATACTCCCACTCGAAAACTCAGCTGAGAGCTATCTAAGGTGGGAAATTATTTTATAGTCTTGGAAGATTATTTGCAAAACGATTCATAAACCTCTGATTCATAGAGGCCGGTAACTGCCCATAATGATGATCCAGTCCAGAATCGACCTGGTGTGAGTATGGCTGTTCAAAAGGAAGATCTACCGCAATCGGATTCTTCACAAAGATGAGCCATTCAAAAATGATTAAACAGTTACAAATACAATAAAATGACAGTGCTTATCTATCAGTCGCCTTTGGGCAATGGTGAATCGACGTCTCTATCCATCAAGTTGTCCGCCCTCTGCGACTACCTAAATTGGTGGATCACCCGTCTAAAAATATTTTAATGATGGTTAGATTCAGTTTTACTACTTAACGAAATTCGCGAATCGGTCCTAAGTATGTCTCTAAGTCTCAGCTCATCGAAATTAACTACCATCGTCAATTTTTTCCCGTGCAGGTTACCGCGCTATATTGAAATTTTTCGATTAAACAAAGTTTAGGAACGTTCAGATGTTGTGTCCTTTCCAGCACTTTGCACTTTCAAAACAATTTTGGGTTTTTATGAAATGCTGAGATATTTGCAAAACTCCGGACCGCAGGTGTATGCAGTGGGGAACGAACACGTGCTGTTGTCCTTGCCGGGGAGCATAGCTAGCTGAGATAGAACTAGCTGAGAGACAGGCAAGACGAAGGACCCGGATGGTGTAGTGGTGAAGTGCGCTGCTCCCCGGTAAGGACAACAGCGCGTGTTCGTTCCCCACTGCATACACCTACGGTCCGGAGTTTCGCAAATATCTCAGCACTTCATACGAGTTATATTTCGCAACATACCCTTCCATTAAGAAGAAAAAAGGCAGTAAATAAAAGGGTTAAGATTTTGGGTTTTTTCTGTGTAATTTTCCATGTCCATTCATGTTCCCCATTAAAAAACTGATTATTCGTTATTCCATTGTTTCACTGACATCACTGCAATCGTCTTTCATAACTAATACCATTAAATACAAATTTTTATTTACTTAACTATTTCTACACATTTTTAATCTATATGGTTTGGTGAAAGGGTGCGTGTGGAGCGGTTATCGGAGGCGCTCTGCAACACACGTGGATTCTATCCCCACGCCCATGGCCCACCAAGCGTTCCATTCCTCAGAGGTCGGCAGGGTTGGTACCAGATCCCTCTGGGAGGATAGCACCACTCACTCGATACATCGGTAGGCCACCGCGAGTCATTGTAAAGGCCAGATATGCAATCAATAACCTCCAAACGAAGCTTAATGAAGTAGAATGCATGGAGCATCCCTCAAGGATCGATCAACGCCAAGAGCTTTATACACTTCTATAGTTTGGTTCCATTTGTAGTTTTTCATCATATGCTTCGAATGAAGGATAAAGCAGCTACCAAAAAATGACAATCGCTAGAAAACTAGTTAGATAACAACAGCTGTTGGGAGCTAAGACAATGAAAAGACTATATTTAACAGATAGAAGGCTGTATTCGGTGATATAAATCTACACGTGTATGATAAGATTCGACCACGTGAATTGGTCTCAATGCGTATTCTTTCCGATTATTGGCAGCAGGAAGTGACGGAGGTGGTAAGTGTTTTTTTCAGGGCATGCGTGCACTACAGTATGCGGTGCCGGTGAACTGCCTTTTGATCGGGGCCCTATCGTTGGTACTGCCGATCGGGCCTCTGACGGCAGCCATGATGCTCGACGCATTCCTTCTAGTGATGGCTACCATCGGCATCATGAGCAACGCAGCAGTACTCGTTGTGCCGAACATTATTATTAAAGTGAGCTTGTGAGAACGTTTGCAAGAGATTTCAGTGAGAAATGTCTTGTAATTGAAGTATCCACTGTTCCAGCTTCTTCTTTTATTCGTCATGTTGTTTGTTGGATGCGTATCGATCGACACATTTCATACGCACTACTTCAAAAACTCAGCTAGTGTTATCATCGAAATCGAGGTAGCCTACGGTGAAATGAGGAACTTGCACGTTAACTCCGAAATCTATTCATGACACATCAATGTTAACAGAGTATCCATTAACATCAATACCTGCTTTTTTCGACCGTTTGCTCTATTGCAAAAATTTTTACTCAACTTTTCTATTCATTCGATGCCTTATACAACACCATTTTTTACCATGCATCGTTCGTGAAAATGGTTTACTCTACTTAATGATTTGCCTTTCCGAATGAATTTTCAGTGGGCCCAGCGTTTTCCGAAAAATTGTTCGTGGTCCCAAATGGCCAACGTGCGAAATTGGCGGCAAACGCATCAATGTTGGTATAAGTACTATGTCGTTAGATGTCACCTGTGTCAGCTGTAGTCCCATTAATCGTCGAGTGACTCGAACGGGCCCCAGTAAATCTTCAATTTTCCCTGTCGCGTGCAAGAGTAGCCCAGTGGGTTCTGCTCGCTCTAGGGACTCGTCGAGAATCATACCTTTCTTCAAGGCTCTTTGTAAAGAACTCTGACCATGGAGTCGGTGGTGTTCCTGCAGTACGTTTGGATTCTCGAGGAATCCAGTCACTAACGGCTCTTGTCCATCGGTTGCCATTTATTCGCACTAAGTGTCCAGTCTAAATTATCTTCGACTGTTTGGCATACAAAACGGCATCTTTGATTTTTGATCGTTGACGCAGATCGGAGCTTCGGATCCCAACCTTTACTTGTGTCCGATAACGCTGAGTGACCTTTCATCCTGCTTACGCAGCGACCAGGTTTCTGACGCATAAGTTAGAGCAGGAAGTACCGTTGAGTCGGAATGGTGGGCACGGAGTCATGTGTTTTTTGTTCTCCTCACTACATCCTCGATGCTCTTGAAAGCTCCCCAAACCGTTCCGTTTTCTTCTGCTCAGCTCTGGAGCTAGGTCGTTCATTATATTGATTTCCCGACCTAGGTAGATATAACTGGAGCGTTCGGAGATATTCGTTCCGTTGAGCGTGAATGGGGCATGCGAAACCAATCCGTTTTTCATGAACATCGTTTTTGTGAGCTTTAGTCGAAGACCAATCTTTCCATATGCTTTATCAAAGTGGTCAAGCATACGTTCCGCTTGGCTAATGTTTGGGGTTATAAGGACGATGTCATCAGAAAAGCGAAGATGGTGTAACTGCCGACCATCGATTTTCACTTCCATATTATCCCATTCCAATGTTCGCATGACGTTCTGGAGGGTGGCGGTAAATAATTTCGGCGAGATGGCATCGCCTTTCCTAACTCCCATTTTAACTTCAATGTTAATATCGTTGTAGAATGGTGATATCTTGGTTGTGAATTTTTTGTACAGGTCACGAAGAATCTTTATGCACTGAGTAGGGACTCCTTGACTATCAAGGGCTTCCAAGACTGCTTCAATCTCAATTGAATCGAAGACCTTCTGTGAAACGATGAAAGTGAGACAGAGCTGCCTTTTGTACTCTCGCGATATCTCCATGAACTTTGTTACCGTGTGGATATGGTTCATCATACTAAATCCTCTTCGAAACCCTGCTTGCTTACATGGCTGTCCATCGTCTAGTGCTCTGTCAATCCTGTTTAGGATGACTCGAGTGGAAAGTTTGTAGACGACAGACAGTAAACAGATTGGGCGATAGTTGCCGATATCGTGCGGGTCACCCTTCTTGAACAATAACACGGTCCTGCTGGTCTTCCACTGAGTAGGGACCTTGCATTCAGACAGGTAACGTGTGAAGAGCCGAGCCAGTGTGTTTACGAGGTCTGGCGGAAGGTTCTTCAGGTGTTCTGGTCTTATCCTATCTGGACCTGGTGCTGTTCGATTTTTCACCGACGAAGTGGCATATGGGATTTCGGAAGGGAGAACTGGTGGTACAACATATCCATTCTCCTTTATTTCATATGACGTAAGATGGACATGGCTATCGAGGAGATCCGAGTAGTATTCGTGAATAATTTTCTCCATTGCCTTTCTAGACACTGTAACTGTTCCGTCTGGGCGTCGGAGTGCAGTCATTTCGGTCTTGTAATTGACAAAGCTTCGGTGTGCTTTGCGAATGGTTTTCCCAGCCTCTGCAGCTTCGGTCATTACTGCTGATCTTCCTTCTCTAAGATCTTCTTTTATCGCCTCTCTGAATTGTTTTGCAAGTTCAGACGTTAGTTCGCGGTTGCTTGCAGCTCTTGCGATTCCACGCTGGCGTATCAGCTCGGGTGTTTCTGGAGACAGACGTCTCTTGGTGGCTTTCGAACTCTGAGGTTTCACAGCGCCAGCGTGAAGATGTTGAATGAGTCCATCATATTCTTCGTCGATGTTATCGACAATGGCATCTTCCCAACCGCCGACTAATGAATTGGATAAATCCCAGTTTACGGTAGTTCTGGGACTTCGGTTTTGGAATTTAGCGGCCTTTTCCCCTTTCCGCGAGAAATAGAATCTTGCACGAAAGGTACGGTGGTCTGAGCCCGTGTAGAATTTTGGGGCAACAGCGTTACCGGTTAGGCAAAACATTCTATTTACTATGACGTGGTCTACTTCGTATGGTGCTCTCCATTGGAAGACTCCCGCGTCCAGCGTTGAGGGTGGGGCTTCTCGAATTGCGAGTTACCATGGATGGTCTTGGTCGCCATGATAAACTCAGAGAGCCGCTCACCCTGTTCGTTCCATTCTAATCCGTAGGTCCCAATGTGACGTTCTTCAGACGTTCTTCTTGGTCCAATCTCGGCGTTGAAATCTCCAGTGATGATCTTGAAGAATATATGGTCTTCTCTGTAGAACGTCTCCAAGTCCATATAGAACGCTTCGACTTCTTTTTCGTCATAGTTTGATGTCGGCGCGTAAACGACGAAGATTGTCAAAGCCGGAATTGATCTACGTCTTTCCAATCGTAAACGTCCGATTCGGGTTGTAAGTTGTTCGAATGAATCGATGTTCGTGGACATACTTGTGTTGACGAAAACGCCGACGCTGCCGACTCCTCTACTGTCGCATGTTCTGAGGAACATTTCTTCTCCGGTGTCATGGATGGCGTTGAAAAGCCTGCGTCTTCTCGTCTTGGCCAGGCCGATGATGTCGTACCTTATCCTTCTTGCTTGCATGAGCAAGTCTTCCATCGAGGATTCGGATGCAAGTGTACGTGCATTGTAGGTACAGATCGTCACCATAGTTCTTTGAAATCCATGCAACTTCCATTGGCCCTGAGATTTTAGCAGCCTCTCCATACTTCTCCTACCCAACACAGCCAAATTGGGGGCTGTTTCGGGGTAAGGGAATAAGGGCTATTCTTTTCTGTGTTTATCATTTTGATACCTATGTTATAGCTTGCTGGACTCTGAACGTGGGGGCTGGGTATACTCACGAGTAGCTTTCCAGGCTCTCCCAGAGTGGACATGGAGCTTATTTGTTGGAGACGACTCCTAACTGCCTCGCACATACTTCCCAGTCACTTGGTTGCAGACTTTTGGCCGAATTGACTCGTAGAATACAATCCGCATAAGCAAGAACGCACCCACACACTCATGCATGAATACGCCTAGCAAATACGGAAAGTATGTGCCAAATCAACTCAGCAGGAACAGGGAGCCCATCCCCTGGATCCACCTGCGTCTCAGGGAAGCAAAGGTCGCTTTTGGTCCGCGATTAACCCTCTATCCGCTACCTGGGGATGCGCCACGTAGCCTCGCGACTAACCGGCTCGAGATCCCTCATATGAGGGAGATCCGTGGATGTAGTTAGATATAATTAATTAATTAATGTAGTTAAATGTAATTAATTATTATGTAAGGGGCAGATACCACAGTGGTAGTGATGTCCGTCATCAGGATCATGATGCTAGTTCGATTCCACTGCGGGCCAACCAAGCCTCTCATTCCTCTAGGGTCAAGAAATTGCACTTGTCTGGGAAAAAATCACTTTCTGTAATCTAGTTGGGAGCGCTCCAGTCCGGCTATCTTAGGACTCCAAAGACAAATGCACGACCACCATTCTACGACATTCAAGATGAAATGAAAATGGTCAAGCAACAACCGAAGCCACACTTGAAAAACTGGAGGACCTTCTTGGACGATAAATGCGAGGAAACGAATTGAGTGTGAGAAGTGCTGGGATCCGCCCAGAAGACGTGAGGGCGGGTCATATAAATTAAAACAAAAATAAAGGGATTAAAGAATTGTCATGTAAACAAATGTTGAAAATTTTCCAATCGTATCTTTTCTATTCCAAATTAGCCTTTCTAACTTTTAAATGCGCCTGGAAATGAATGTTTGTCAATGAGCCAGTTCTATGCACGATGGTTATTTCATCCCGTAAAGTTTTCACCTGCTTTTGTTTTATTTTGCGCTTAATAAAGGAACTGTTGTCTCAGTTAAATATAAAGAGGAAATTTAAGTTAGGAGCCGTTTTTGTTAATCAAAAAACGCCATATCTTTGATTTGAGCTACATCCTAATATAGTTGAAAAGATGTTCGCCAACCTTGGGAAAAAGTGCACAAATTTTTCAAAGTGATTCTCCTCTACTCGTTATTCTTCCTTTTTCTTATTTTATTTTATATGACCCGTCTTCACGCCTACTGTGCGGATTCCAGCACTTTTCACATTCGATTCGTTTCCTCGCATCTACGAAGACCTTCCAACTTTTGCGTGTGGGTTCGGATGCAGCTCGAGAATTTTCATTTCATCTTTAATGTGGTAGCATGCTGGTCGAGTAATTCTCCCTGGAGTCCTGAGACAGCCGGGCTGGAGCGTTCCCATTTGGATTGCAGAGAGTGACTTTTTCCCATACAAGTTCGGCACCAATTTCCGGATCCCGTAAGTATGAGAGGGTTAGTTGGCGCGGAGCGGAATCGAACTAGCACCATGCTCGTGATGATGGACATCACTACCACTGTGCTATCCTCCCCTGTTATTCTTTCTATGTATTATCAATCAACCTTTCCGAAAAGAAGCTGGATTTCGGTAACTTTTGGTCACTGTGGTATTTTAGGTATACAGAACTTTATAGGTGTAAAGTAGAGACCTCCCTCTATCGAATTAATCCTATCTGTAATTTTTATTCAGTGTCTCTCCAATTTTTGTGGGGTTACGAAATTGAAGATCAGATTTAAGTTTTTAAAACTTCCAACCGAGGAGCGATAGCTGCAAACGCACGCTCTGGAATGCCGCCATGTCCTACTGAATAAAATACACCTTGCTCATGTGTTTTCGTGTTCAAAACATGAGCTTTGAAGCAATGTGGAAGAAAAAGAAATATATGCATATATAGATCATGGCACAAGTTGCGCATGTTGCACAGTAGTCGGAGGCGCCCTGCAATACACATGGGATGGATCCCGCGCCCCAGGCTCACCAAGCCTTGCATCGCCACAGGTCGGAAATTGCTCCCATACTTGTTTGGGAGCATAGCAGAATTGACTCGATACATCGGGAGGCCACCGCGAATTATTGTAAAGACCAAATATGCATTCCATACCTCCTACGACGGCTAATGAAGTTGAATGCATGGGGCATCCCTCAAGGATTGATTAACGCCAAGAGCTCCTTTATCCTTTTATAGGTCATGGCTCCAGAATGTCTTACTTTCGTGTTTCTAGAATAGGATGGCTTCTTAGGTTATGATCTGCAAATTGTTGT